CTCAAAATACTACATAATTCATGTCTATTGAGCACTGAATAAGCAGTAGAAAGGCAGCGAGCCAGTGATGTGTGAGCCATATAGGGGTTTCCACAAGGGTCTTTACTCCTGTATAGCCTCGCCTACACTCACCTCGCCCACGCCCGCACTCACACCGCCCACGCCCGCACTCACACCTCGCCCACGTTGTAACGGACACTAGTCTTGCATCACTATCTCCTACTTGGGTACACTAAGCGTAAAAGCCAATGGTTAAAATTATAACCATAATTTTTAAGGGATGGACTAATAAGCCAGCTATAGGCCTCGGTCAGATGACAAAGCTCCAGCTGTGGGTCATCATGTGACTAAGACTCGACTCAGGAAACACTTGTCCTGTTAACATCCAGACAAACCTTAAACTAAGTGCACTACTAATAACGTCTTTATTGAAACGTTTGATACCAGATAGCTACATGAATTGTTTAAGGCTCGAACTTAGAGAATTTAATTGCTTACCAATACCTGCTGTCTGTTAGATTTTATATAACTTTGATATCGTTTTATTTCTGGCTTAATTTAATATACATGCTTTAATGCGCAACATGTATCATGTATTTAGGAACACGATCTTGACAACAATCCACACAGTCTTCCACGTATTCCCCAAACTGGGTATGAAGATGCCTCAGATTTATATTTGAGTGGATTAACTGGCTTCCAGTCAAGAAAAAGTTGCCCATTCATAGTGCAGGCCGCAGGGGCTGGGATGATTGCTTTGGCAAGTGAACCCATTCACCAGGTCCCTGCCCCTTCTTCCGTACACACATACATAAAATGTTGCACTCTTCTGTAACTGCTGAATATTTTTGAACGATTTTTTTTTCTTTAGGCTGCAGATGATATAGTTACTCAACAAAAATCGGCTTAAACAGAATCCACATTTATTGCCCAGTCAACCAAGATTCCACCTACTGACTAATGAGAGTGCCAGCTAGATATGGCACCGTCTTCACCACTGCCTAGCATCCACATGGCTCTAAAGCCAGATTTATGGTAGCAAACAGCTAAAAAAAAAAAAATTACTCTGCGTCTGAATATGTTACCGCACTTACGAAATAGCACTATTTATCAACAAACGCTTCATGTTACCGCTAAAACCTTTGAAAATAAACACTTTGAAAAAGAATAATTTCTCCAGTTGTCAATAACTGGCGAAATGAGCAATGAAGTACCTGAACCTGTACTCCCTGGAATGTAGGCGGGGAATGATACATGATTATATACACCTGGAAAATCCTAGAGGGACTAGTACCAAACTTGCACACGAAAATCACCCTACGAAAGCAAAAGACTCGGCAGACGATGCAACATCCCCCCAATGAAAAGTAAGGGTGCCACTAGCACGTTAAGAGACAACACAATAAGTGTCGGGGACCCAAGACTGTTCAACTGCCTCCCAGCATACATAAGGGGGATTACCAATAGACCCCTGGCTGTCTTCAAGCAGGCACTGGACAAGCACCTAAAGTCGATACCTGACCAGCCGGGCTGTGGTTCGTACGTTGGCTTGCGTGCAGCCAGCAGTAACAGCCTGGTTGATCAGACCCTGATCCACCATGAGGCCTGGTCACAGACCGGGCCGCGGGGGCGTTGACCCCCGGAACTCTCTCCAGGTAAACTCCAGGTAAGCGTCAAGTCATAAGATTTCCTAGTAGCACTTCATATGTGAGGAGCAACACTACCTCCAGCAATGTTCACTACCTCCAGCAGTTGACTCACATAGTTTCCAGCTTGTTCGTAGTACATTGGATGAATCATACGAACTTTCTTAGTGAATGAGTCAGACGTAGACCTTTTTGTTTGTCTCTTATGACAGTATTTACTAGCTCACGATTAGGAAAGATTGACACTTAAATACACATTCGTTCGGGCTTTCTGTGTTCCAAATATGATTAAGCATATTAATTACGCTAATTTTTAAATGCTAATAGGTTCAGAAATGTACTAAGCTAAGAACAGTGACTATTTATAGTTTGTGTTTACACTGATTTTTGCATGGTTACAAGAAAGTTCAAATAGGTTTGTTTAGGCTTTCGTAGTTTGACCTTGTTTTGTGTCAGTGTAAACATATATTTGTTTAATTAGTATAAAATGGGCATTTACGTAATTATACATGCTGTCGCCAGGAATTCCTAATCGTAAAACAGTTCTGTCACTTTGTCATAACACAGAAGGTAGGTAAAGAGCAAATCATCTGGGGTGTGTGCTACTCTCCTGTTATTGTCTTGTGAAACAATCCTGTTCAGCAGGTCTGCGGAGTTTTTTCTTTTTCTCATAAATATGCGAGTTGACAGGTAAATCTTACAAATTTCCACTTACGTCCATTGTGCATTTATCTTTACTTTTTTTTTCTGCAGGTTACTGTTCTTATGTTATTCCTTTTCAAGTTATAAGACCGGGCCGAGGAGTTGATAATGCCTGGTATATCAAAGCTGGTGCTATTAACATATAACGCTTTTCATATAAAATCTTAAAGTGTTCTATTTGTTATAAATATGTATTTAAAAACTTCGATGTACCTAGATACTGGGGAAATTGCCAAAATAAACTGTTTTTTCTTAAAAACTAAAATATTCCACATTCCACGAGACAGTGGATGTGTTGCTGTAGCTAAGCTGCAGGTAATGCCGATAAGCTTGGGTGAATGTGCAAGGAACAGCTAGGAATAACAATTAGGTAAGATGAATTTTATTACAATATTCAAAAGTTTAAGCTCTGCTCAAGGACTTAAAGTTAGTAAGACACATGTGCATCACTAGCATGAAACGTTTCGCCTACGCTGCAGGCTTCTTCGGTCAACTAGAAGGATGAATGCCAATCTGAAGGCAATAGACGAAGTGTGGAGATAGGAAATCAGTCCCTCAGCCTTGGTAGAAGATAATCAGGCTGAGACTGATTATCTTCCACCAACGCTAGGGATTGATTACCTCAGACAGCCATTTCACTTCGTTTACTGTCTCCGGGACTAATTGATCCTTGTATTCGACTGCTATAGCCTGTAGCACTTTCGAAGCGTTGACTCAGTAAAGATAACTTCAGTAGTGTTACTGTGTGTCGTACTCATCAACTTATTATCGGTAAATAGGTATAATGTCTGTCAGGAAATAGGACAAGTGTTTCCTGACGCGGGTCTTAATCATATGATGACCCACAGCTGGAGCTTTTGGCCATCTGACCGAGGACTTCCGCTGGCTTACTGGTCCACCTCTTTAAAAATCATAGTTATGATTATAACCATTATCAGTATTTATTAATATATGTATCTTATCGGTATTGCATTCGAGATTCAGGTATTTTATTCAAAGAATTTAGTCTTCACAAAAAAAAAAAAAATGGTTTATATGTTTGCTCTCCATGGATTCATCTTATTAGGTCACTGGTTATATTCAATTCTTTCAACATGAGACGTTGTCGAAAATATTTTATATTTTCTGCTAGCATTACCAACGTCCTGCCGTGTTTACCAATTAGCAACTATCATTAACAGTGTGCTGCCATGTTTATTAATTTTCTATTATAATTAACGGTTTGCTTCTATTACATTATCATTATAATCACGGGGAGCGCTAAACTCGTAGGGTACAGCGCCTGTGGGGGATGGATAGAAGGTATTCAGGCTCATTTCAGGGAACTGGAGCACAGATCCAATCCCCTAGATCAAGGGCCCCTCACCAGCGTCAAGGAACCTCCCTTGAGGGGACTTCTGTGGAAAATGCTGTGTAATTTACTTGGATTTGAAAAGGTTTAATGACTAACCAAAGAAGGATAGAATGAGGCTAAGGATTTTTTTTTTTTTTTTTTTTTTACTGTAGAGACAGCCGCCTGTACTTCCTCCCTTCCTGGTTACCTTCACCTTCCACGGCCACAAAAGTCTGTAGTAAGCGATTTTATGGCCTTCCAGGGATAGTGGCAGCACCAGTATCCTCCCATCTTAATGGCCCCCCCCCAAAAAAAAAAAACTACTGTTAGCATTTTAATAGAACCGCCAGTACGATTTCATATTTAAATTCGTGAGGCTTCGTTTTCTTCATAAGGTAGTAGTTTACCATATATTCCACTGATTTTCTCGAAGATAATGTAACAGTTGAGTATCGTAATGACACTAATAATGTACTAACCGAATAGATTTGCATGAAAACAACATGCAAGTACTCCAGTGATGCATTTTTGGATGTCAGTGTCTTATTGATCTCTAATTGTACAATATTACTCCAGATATAATCTTTCCAAAAAGTACTGTTTCAATACATGTAATGCAAGACAATGGAAGTTAGTCATGGTCACAGTGGTGTCCATGCTAACCTTTTTACGGTATTGTGTCTAAAGATACACTTAGTAGGATGAATCTTATTATTCCAGTATAGTACAATAGATAAATACACTTGCCTGCAAGTTGTAGGACTGGCTTGCCATGGGTTCGAATCCTCCCTACAGTGAGCTGTTTAGAATCAGACTAAAAATAAGGAGCAAAATGTAAATTATTTCCTATGTTAACGTCTTTTATTATATATTTATATTTTATTATATATTGCTTTCATTTATATTTTTTATTTGCATATTCTTGCTTTTTATATATTTTTCTATACATTTTTAATAGTTTTTCTTAGGTATTTAGCTGCATATAATTACATTGTCGTTCGTGTATTCGTTATTGAACTTGGTCTCTGTAAGCCAGTCATGTCTGTCTTCAAGAAGAGAGGGATGTCTGGTGGTGGGTATGCTTGTGAAGTCAAGGACACTGCGGTGTGACGACTTTTGAATCTAACCAGAAATATATTCGGAGAATACGTAATGACTTTTGCCATTTCTTTGAGAAAGTTGGTGAAAAATCTGGCATTTTGTGTATTAAAAAAATGAAGTCAGTTTGCTATAAGAGTAGTCTTGGTAATTTCTGGCAACGTCCCCTCGATCCTCTCTCTTCACTCTTCGCCATCTCTCCTTCACCCTGTCTCCGCCCATTTTCCTCCCCTGACTAAAACAAGAAACATCACTCTCACTCGGCTCCCTGGCGTTACACATCATTCTTATTCTACGTGTGTGAATATACTTGCATGTGAGTATATGGAGGATCATTTTTTCTGCACTTCTAGAAAAATCACCAGATTACATGTTCAATGTTGCCGTTGACCCCCATGACTGGGGCGAAGCAAGAAGTAATAGACAGTAGAGTGTACTTCAACAGATGCGCATGTGGGATAGCCGCTAGCCTTATGGCAGGTCAAGGCAGAATGACTGTTGGCTTTCCAGTTGAATTCAGTGATTTGAGTGTGAGACTTTACAAGTTACAATTTTTTTTCATTTAAACAAAATATGTATCTCATCCACTGTTATAGTTTGTATTTCATTCCTCCGTCCGTCCGTCCGTCCGTCCGTCTGGGCATCACCTCCCGGCCTAAACCAGCAACTCTGGTCCAAGAGTATAAATAGTTGAGAGCGATAATTGCTCAGCTGGGTCAGTCGTCGTCCCTGGCTAGATGGCCAGTTAGTGTAGGTCAGTTCCTCTACCTTCTACCTCATTACCCAACAATTATTACCACACTGTAGACAACGAGTTAATGTAGATCGCTCCTTGCATCTGTTGTCTGTCCAGCTCCTTGATGCTGATGAGGGGCTCTTGATCTAAGGAATTGAATCTATGCTCCAATTCTTATAATCAAGCCTGAATGCTTCCCATCCCCCCAGACGTTATATGACCCCGACGGGTTTAACCCTTCTCCCCCATGAAATGTATCTATCCAACAATTTTATTAAAATACTGTAGGGTAGTCCATTAGTTAAGGGCTCTCTACCTGCCTCTCATTATACAAATTCAAATTTATTCTCTATAAGGGTTACAATGTGGGGTTTACAGGTTTTGGGTATTGTGTGGTTTACATGTTATAAAATACTAATTACAGAGGGGGCCACTAGGACACCTAGCCTGGCTAGGCATTTCGAGCAGACTTAGATTAATTCTTAACATTAAATCCTTACAGATTATGATAATAAGGCTAAGTGACTACATCATAATTTGTGAGTTTAGCAATGTGAATGCTTTTGTTTTGGCACAATACAAAGTGTCTATATTGGAGTATCATAGGCAAACTTATGACTAGTTAGAATTTATTATTTTAAAATTAAGATTAGTATTTCTGGGTTTATAGTCAGTGGGTGAGTGAGTGTAATTGTGAACCACCAGGTGGGTATCATGTAGTTAGTTGTCGGGGTGGATCAGGGAGATAAGATGTTTTCTAACTGTAGTTTTGAAAGTGATGAATGTGTCTGCAGTTCTAGAGTTTTCAGGTAGGGTGTTCCAGATTTTAGGCCCTTTGAAATACATTGAATTTTTGTAAAGGTTTAGTCGAACACGGGGAATGTCAGAAATGGTTGTGTCTGGTGTTATGCCTGTGGATCCTGTCACAACTGTCAAGAAAGCATTTTAGGTCAAGGTTAATATTGGAATTTAAGGTCCTGTAGATATAGATTGCACAGTAGTAAGTGTGGATGTTCTGAACAGGGAGTAAGTTTAGATCTATGAAGAGGGGGGGGGGGTGTTGCCAGGGATGGGATTTAGTGATTATTCTTACTGCGGCTTTTTGTTGGGTTATTATTGGCTTTAGGTGTGTTGCTGCAGTTGAACCCCAAGCACAGATAGCATAGGTGAGGTATGGATATATAAGTGTGAAATTTAGGTTGTTGTCGAGGTATAGGCCAAGGAATTTGCCCTCATTATGTCTGGCAATTAGAGTGTTGTCGATCTTAATGTTAAGTTGCGCAACACCTGCTCTGCTACCAAACATAATATAGTAGGTTTTGCCAGTGTTAAGTGTAAGTTTATTGGCTGTCATCCAAGTCGATATTTTGAGCAGCTCCTCGGTAACAATGGTGTTGAGGGTGGCAAGATTAGGGTGGGAGATGACATAAGTCGTGTCGTCAGCAAAGAAAATGGGTTTCAGGTGTTGGGATATGAGGAAGAGCAGGGGTCCAAGGACACTTCCCTGCGGAACTCCAGTATCAAGTGGCCGTATTGATGAGGCTGTGTCTTTAATGGTGACATACTGATACCTATTAGAAAGGTAGGATTTAAAATATGCAAGTGCATGGCCTCTTATACCATAATGGTCAAGTTTGTGGAGTAGGATGCCGTGGTCTACTGTGTCAAACGCTTTTCTTAGGTCAATAAAAATTCCTAATGGATATTCCTTATTTTCCAATGCTGTGTAAAGCAGGTCTAGCATTTTTATAATTGCATCATTAGTGCTTTTATTTTTCCTGAATCCAAATTGGCAGGGGTTGAGTATGTGCACGAGTTTCTCGAAGATTTTGGATAGCAATGGTAAGTTTGATATTGCCTATAGTTGTTTACGTCTGTAGGGTCACCATTTATGTATTGATGTAACCCTTGCTGTCTTGAGTAGTGTCGGGAAAGTGCTAGTTTCTAGTGACTTGTTAAAAGTAATGTAATACCATGCGAAAGGACATGGCCTATATACTCCTGTCATGATAAACAACTTACACAGTAACGTATTCATAACGTGTAAAAGTGTTTACGTAATTTATTCCGTGTAAGTTACAGAGCAAAGTTGGAGCCACATGTGGGCTACAACCTTCATATGGCCAGTTCATTAGTTCATTGGTACTGTTGTGAAAGTTTGTTACCAACGAAAGCTAGTCGAGGAATGAAGGATCGGCTGTAGAATGATTTCCCTGGGCAACCCATTTCTTAAATTACATAGTTTTTGGCTCGTTTGGCAGTGCGTTCTGCTCACAACTAAAGGATCAAGATTCGAACCCCGGACAAATGGAAACGCTGGACATGTAATCCTAACACCTTTTCACCTAGCAGTAAGTAGGTACCTGAGTGTTAACTAATTGTTGTGGACCGCCATCTGTGGAAATGGATCAAGGACCCTAACGGAAATAAGGTAAAATTATTTGCTTTCTTGGGTTACCGTACTAAGGCAGGCAAAATTGCAGACCTGGAGAATGTACAGAGAATTTTCACTGCGCGCGTAAGTACAATATCTATATTGCTGGGAAAGGTTGAAGTCCCTTGACCTATACTCCTTGGATCGCGGGGGAGAAAATCTTAGAGGGACTAGTCCCAAATCTGCACACAGAAAGCACGCCCTAATAAAGCAAAAGATTCGACGGGGGATGCAACAATCCCCCAATGAAGTGTCAGGGACCCAAGAGTGTTCAACTGCCTCCCAGCATAAATAAGGGGGATTACCAATAGACACTGGCTGTCTTCAAGAGGGAACTGGACAGGCACGTAAAGTCAGTACCTGACTAGGCGGGCTGTGGCTCGTATGTCGGTTTACGTGCGGCCAGCAGTAACAGCTTGGCTGATCAGGCCCTGATCCACCGCGAGGTCTGGTCACGGACCGGACCGCGGGGGCGTTAATCCCCGGAACCTCCTCCAGGTATACCCTGGGTATAATCGAAAGAAAATCTTCAGTTATCTTATGCATTAAGGTACGTTAATTTCTGAACACTAAACCACCTTCAAAATTATTTTTTTTTTTTAGGTTGGGTTAGATTACGTTAATTTAACCCTAATAAACTCGTATATACCTTTTAGTTGACCTCATTAAGCAGATCACATGAACCTCAAGATAACTTTTGACACTTCAATCCATTAAACAATTGGAAATAATATGCCTATTATCCCCTCAAGGGAGGTTCCTTGACGCTGGTGAGGGGCTCTTGATCTAGGGAATTGGATCTGTGCTCCAGTTCCCTGAATTGAGCCTGAATGCCTCCCATCCCCCACTTGCGCTGTATAATCCTACGGGTTTAGCGCTCCCCCATGATTATAATAATATGCTTATTATATACGTTAGTTAGTTTAATATGTTTATTATGCACCCCATACCCATCCTGTGGGCGGTAGTCAAAAGATTACAGAGGTACATAATTGGTCCAGGGACTGGACTCCAAAGTTTTGATAGCTGAGCAAGTTACAGAGGTAATGAACTCACAATTTACAAAGATAATGAACTCACAATTTACAAAGGTAATGAATTCACAATTTACAAAGGTAATGAACTCCAGGTAAGTCTGGTCACAATCATGACAAGTTACAAAGGTATTTACAGATTACAGAGGTACGTAATGGGTCCAGGGACTGGGCCCCCAAAGTTTTGATAGCTGAACTAGGTACAAAGGTAATGAGCTCACAAGTTACAAAGGTAATGAATTCTGTAGAATGGTTACTTACGTTTATACTTTGGCTACAATCATGAACAAATTATAGAGTAATGAGCAATTCACACTTCGGTGTAGAGACGGTCGCCTTGAGAAAGATAAATTATTATTATAATCAAGGGAAAGCGCTAAACCCGTAGGATTATACAGCGCCTGGGGGGGGGGGAGGATGTGGAAGGCATTCAGGCTTAATTCGGGGAATTGGAGCACAGATCCAATTCCCTAAATCAAGAGCCCCTCACCAACATCAAGGAACCTTCCCTGAGGGGTGAGAAAGATAAAGCCATAGTGAATCTGCCGATAACTGCCCCTCTTGTGGTGCAATAGTTGTTTAGTTATCCACGGAGCTAGGACAGGTTAGGGTACCAGAGAACGCTACATTCCAGTGAAATATAATGCCCAACACCACCACCTCATTTCTTCTCCTCCTTCCCTCCTCCATCCCCTCCCTCCCATTCATCGCCTCTCACAAACTTCCTCCCCCCCAACGCCCCACCCTATATCCCCCTCGCCCATCCCTTCCTCCCTCCCTCTCTCCCTCAGAAACAAGTTGAGGTCCAAGGTGACACTGCCACAGACCACTCGATAGAGTTGGGGTCCAGGGTAGTAGCGTGTTCGGTGCAGGTGTTAGGTCTCCCAACACTTGCTGCACCTACATACCTAGCAGTAAATAGGTACCTAAGAGGACCAAAGGACCTCAGTGAAAATAAGCCTTTTTCTGTTCTTTCTTCTCCTCCATCCTTGCTTACTCTTCCTTTTCTCTTCTCAGGTTAAGAAATGATATGAAAGACGGTGGAGATGAGACTAGAAGGTGAAAGTTACAGAGAATGAGACTAGCAGTATACGTAATGAATTGTTGATTGC